TTCCTGCTCATGGGACAACCTAATATTTTGTGCTTTTAATGTGATACAATGGGAAGAACATATATCAGGCAAATAACAATAATAATCTATTCACAAGGAAACAACCAGACTAGTTCTATCCAGAAACGGTACATTTTATAATTCCTGGACTGTTTAAAAATAGAGTCAATGTCATTAAAACTAACAAAACCAGTAAAATGTAATGAAGCTTAACTAAGTCTCAACTAAAATAAAAGATATCTGGAATAGTGGAGAATTTGAATAAAGACTTAATGAGATGACATTATGAAATAATTTTTTAGGTGTAAAAATAACAATTGTTACATAGAAAAAAATAACTTCCTCAATTAAAGTATTTAGCAGTGGCATGCAATGAAGTCTGCAGCCTATTTTCAAATGGTTGAGGACAGAGTAAGCATGCTTGTATGTGTATCTCTGGGTAGAAGACAGGAATAAGAGGGAGAGGAATATCATTAAGCTACTGTGAAGAATAAATGGAATGATGGATATACGGGGCTTCTCAAAGTGGTTGGCCAGGTTCACTCTCGTAATTAACTTCTGCTCAAAGAAGCATTCCCTGGACGTAAGCATGGAGTCTTAATTGACCTTTCTCTCCCCAAACCCAGAACCAAGGACACATGAAGGAAAGAATGACTGAAGAACATCATCATTTAAAAGCAGTTTATTCTGGGACCAGCAGGTAGTGCAATCATTAGGTCACGAGACTCCCACGTAGTTGTCCACGGTTTGAGTACCAGGCCTGGTGGTTTAAAACTCGTGCCAGGCTTGTGTGCATGCATGTCCAAAATCCTGAGAGGAGAATGGAGGTACTGTGGCATGGCCATCCCCCCTGATGGCTGATTTCTCACTTCTTGTCTCTCCAGCAAGCACACTTACCCTATAGCAAAAAACTCTCTGAAAAAAAAACAAAAACAAAAACAAAAAACAAACTAACAAAGAAAAAAAACAAGGGACCGGCAGTTGGCGTAATGGCTATGTCACTAAATGAACTCTGATGTAGTCGACCATGGTTTGAGCCTTGGATCCAGTGGCTTGAACTCAGGCAGGGCATGTGCGCGAGTGTACCCAAGATCCCGAGAGGAGAATGGAGGAGAAAGGATTGTGGCATGACCATCCTCCCTGGGGGGTGATTTCTTGCTTTCTGTCTCTCTGTCTCTCCCTGCCTTTCTGGCAAGTGTATGCGACCTATAGCAAAAAACTCTTTAAAAAAGGGGTGGGGGCAGTTTACCTTTCAGCTGGAGAAAGCATGGAATGGGGTAAAAATAATACTTCTGATTAAAGTAAAAGAATTAAAGTGACATCAGCAAATATTTGATTTACTCAGATACTCCTTAACTTTCACACATAAAGGATTCCCCACTTACCGTATTTCGACTAATGATTTTTCAGCTTTACAATGGTGCAAGAGTAATACATGTTCAGTAGACACTGTACACCAGATTTGGGGTTTTGATCTTCTTCTGGGCTAGCAAAATGTAGGAAGTCTCTTTCAGGGCTGAACAGTAGCAACAAGCCCAGCTCCCAGCTAGCTACATGGTCACAAGGGTAAACAACCAAGACTCTACCATGTTCTCAAGTGTTATTGGATAATCTTACCCAGCTGTAGGCTAATGTATGTGTTCTGAAAAGCTCTGATGTTCAGTGGGCTGGGTGTATTAAACACATTTTTTTTTTACATATGATAGTCTCAGTGGACAGAGTTTATCAGAACACAATACTATCAAAGGTGGGCGAATATTTGTAAAGGGTCATTTATTCCCACATGTTTTCAGAATTGGAAACATTCACCTTATCATGAATGGCTCGCCGATTGGAAGGCTGTATCAAGACCTTGTATCCCAGGTTGGTGATCCCTTTGATGTGCTTGGGCGCTAGCGGGGCCCTTCTCTCCCAGGCGTTCACGTCCTCCCGCCTGAGGGCCAACACGGCTTTGTGGTGAAGACCTTTGGAGAAGCTGACCCCCAGCCTGCCCAGGCTGGCCCTCTGTACTTGGAACATCTCGAAATCTGCTGGCTGTAAAGATAACGTAAGAGAACAAGACAACAGAAGGCAAGAGGGCTCACAGAGCCGTTCTGGTCTCCTTCGAAATCTGCTGTAAAATACAACCAACTCGATCGATAACAGACACAAGGTAGAGAAGAGGGGACGGAAAAGCTGGTTATAAAATGTTCCTTTACCCGAACAAAACCAAGTTCCCAAAAGCAAGGTCATTTCATTTCAAAATAACGAATGTAAAAAAAAAAAAAAAAAGAGTATGCAACAACATTTGCAATACTAACCAGTAACAAACTGCCAAGCCAAAATAGCTTTTAAAATGTATGTTTTATCGAACATCCATTCAGCACAAAAACTTTAAGCACAGTAGTTTATAATACATATCTAGGAGATAACAGAAAGCAGTCCATTAAGACTGGTTCCAGTTTTTTAATTTTTTGTTGTTGTTGTTGTTGAGATTTTTGCTATAGGGTGTGTGTACTCACCAGAGAGAAAGAAACAGAAAACAAGAAATTACATCCCCCTCATCAGCCCCAGTGGAGACGGCATGCCACAACCCCTTCTCCTTCATTTTCCTCCAGGATTTTGGGCACACACACACACATGCTCAGCTTGAGTTTCAGGCCACTGGATCTGGGACACAAACTGCAGTCAGCCATGTGGAAGACCAGTGATGTAACCATTAGGCCATCCGCTGGTTCCTGGTTTCAGTTTAATAACATTAAGTTTGAAATCCTTATCATGATATGAAAGATTTTTTACATATTAGTGCCAATGTCTTTCCAACTTTAACTGTTCCCTAGGCAAGTGCTACTCAGTATGTTCTGCAACTAGAATTGAGTGGTGAACTGTTTTATGAATGGTCCATGATACGATGTCTATAAAAATAGAACGTAAATGTTTAGAGCAGCCAGGTGGTGGTGCAGTGGAAATACAACTGGACCCATGTGGGAAGGTCTTGGATTCCAATTCTGGGGCCTTTCTAAATATGTTGGGCACATGTGTGGCCCTGACCTGGGCTCACTGAAACTAGTGGTAAATGGTGGCATGATGACCCTACTGGTGGTGCCTATTTCTCTGTGTCTCTCTCATGGAAGAATTAAAAATAAATAAATAAATAAACTGTAAAGAGGTACTTTTAAAAGGAAGTAAACATTGGGAACCAGCAGTTAGCGTAATGGCTATGTCGCTGGACTCCCACGTAGTCGACCGCGGTTCGTGTCCCAGACCCGGTGGCTTAAAAAACTCACGCCGGGCGCGTGTGCGTGCGTGCCCAAGATCCCGAGAGGAGAATGGAGGAGAAGGGATTGCGGCGTGACCATCCCCCCTGGGGGGTGATTTCTCGCTTTCTGTCTCTATGTCTCTGTCTGTCTGGCGAGCACACGCGCCCTACAGTGAAAATCTCTCCAAAAAAAAAAAAAGGAAGTAAACACTTAGAAAGCTTTGTGCCATATGATCAATTTTCTAGTCACTCATTGTTACTGAATTTCACAAAAATATTAGTCCTCAACAGCTTGAAAATTTGAGGAAAGCAATCAACCAAGCAAACAAAACTGTTTCTTCACCAGAAGAAACAATTTAGAAATTTAAGTTGTGTGACTCAGAATTGGGACCAGCAGATGGCGCAATGGTTACATTGCTGGTTTCCTATGTAGTTGACTGTGGTTCAAATCCTGGGCCCAGTGGCTTAAAATTCTCGCCGGGTACATGTGTGCCCAACATCCTGAGAGGAGAATGGAGAAGAAGGGATTATGGCATGGCCATACCCCTGGGGAGGGGGCAGTGGTTTGTCACTTTCTGTCTCTCTCTCTGTATTACTGGCAAGCACATAAGACCTATAGCAAAAATCTCTCTAAAAAAAGAAAGTAATTCAAGCAGGGTGACTCTGAATCACACTGTCCCTACCTCAGATCTCCAACCTCACTCTCAGCATTCCTCTTCCTTGTTCTAAACATTCCATTCCCCCTTCCTGAGTGTCCTCTTCATACCACATCCTCCACTATTGAATTAAATCCTGTCCTGCCTTAACCAGTTTTCCAGCTGCTACTCCAGATAATATAACTCCATTCATTCGTTCAATCAAGAAATATTTACATAAGGCTTACTATGGGTCGTATGCAGAGCAAACTTTACATTAATTTTAATGCATAAAATACCAAAATCTAACAGTATTCTATCCCTCTACAAGTGGTTACATGCATTCTAGCCAAAAGCCAATAATTTTCTGGATCAATAACCTGGTAAAACTTAGTTTTCTACATAAATCTGGCAACAAAATATAGGAACTAAATGATTTTACACCAGTTAGAAATGTTCTACCCATTACTGCTAGAATATAGCAAACCTTTTATGAAACATTTCTTTCATAGCAGACTGCCATCTCTACAGAGCACCCAGCTTCTAGCAAAGGCTAACCAACAGTTAAGCTATAAATACATTGCCTACAAGCAAATGACTGCTTGCTATCATAATAGTAAATTTATAGGACACCTCCCGACAGAATCAGAGAATAGAGTAAACAGTAAGGAGTCCAAGTAAGAAGGTTTTGGGAAGAAGATGACCAGGATGAGAAACAGCTATGCACAGTGAGAGAAATTGCTGGTGATCAGACTTTTAAACAGGCCAAAATATAGAAACCAAAATAGATCATAAACATTTCTGCTTAAGACTGTTATATACTTAATTTCATTTATGGTTTATTTATACCATTTTGATTTTTAAAAAAGATTACATTAAACCTAAGACTAGCCCCATAAAATTCAGTCCCCCAACCCCAAGCCAATGGAACGACTACAATGTTCCCTAGAACTCAAATCCCTTCACTTCTAAATAAAACCAATTTTAGAACAGTGATTCCTTTGAATACACACATGTGACCAGAAATGGTCCCATATTACCATTACCAACAAAGGCCAAATTAGGGACCAGCAGTTAGTGTAATGGCTATGTCACTGGACTCCCACATAGTTGACGGCGGTTCGAGTCCCGGCCCCAGTGGCTTAAAACTCACGCTGGGCACATGTGCATGCATGCCCAAGATCCCGAGAGGAGAATGGAGAAGGGATTGCAGTGTGACCATCTCCCCTGGGGGGTGATTTCTTTCTTTCTGTCTCTCTGTCTCTGTCTGTCTGGCAAGCGCACATGCCCTATAGCAAAAACCTCTCAAAAAAAAAAAAAAAAGGCCAAATTGCATGAACCTATAGGTGACTAACATGGCCCTGTTATCTTCTGTCCTGAGTAGCAAACCTTGACCCTAGCATGGAGGAACATGTCCAGAGAATGCAAACCCTCCCCTCAGCTCAAGCCACCCCTCACTCAGTGACACCATCTCTGCCTCCTCCACTCTCACTTTCCTTGTCTGGGGTGGGAGTGGGGCAGCAGGCGAGACACACATGCACACACGCATGCAATACACACAGACACATTTGCAAAAGCAGACTTTTTGGGGGGACAAGAAAAAGAATGAAATGGCAGAGACTGAACTTCTAGGATTCATTCGGGAAGCTACTTTCACTTTTTATAAAGAATTCTTACATCCTCACCTCTAAAACTCTCGATTTCTAAACAAACATAGCAATGGTTACCATTGCCTAAACATTACATACCAGGCAGTATTCTGAGCCTTTGCAGACATTCTCACTTCCTCCTTGCAGAAACCTTATTAAATATCATTTTTCCCATTTTATACTAGAAACTGAACTGTAGTCTGACTGGATTTGTTGCTTATAAGCAGAAGCAGGATTTCTATGTTAATGTTTAACATTTGGGATAACTGCCTGCGGATCTGCACCCTTTGGCTCTGATACATGCTGTTACTCCTGCCAGATCTTGTTTCAGACACAAATCAGATCCATATGACATCACTTTAGTAGTCAGAGTATCCATGCACGCTCATGGCCTGGGGCTGGCTGAAGCTAAGCTGATCATGGTGTTGGGACCCTGTTTTATTGTAAGTTCTCTCTCTCTCTCTCTCTCTCCCTGTATAATATGTCTCTCTCATAAAGGAAATAAACATAAAAAAGAAAAAGAAAGAAAGAGAGAGAGAGAAAGAGAGAAAAGAGAGAGAAGGAGAAAAGAAGAAAGAAAAAAGAAAGAAAGAAAGAAAGAAGAAAGAAAGAAAGAAAGAAAGGAAGAAAGAAGAAAGGAAGAAAGAAGAAAGGAAGGAAGGAAAGAAGGAAGGAAGGAAGGAAGGAAGGAAGGAAGGAAGGAAGGAAGGAAGGAAGGAAGGAAGGAAGGAAGGAAGGAAGGAAGGAAGGAAGGAAGGAAGGAAGGAAGGAAGGAAGGAAGGAAGGAAGGAAGGAAGGAAGGAAGGAAGGAAGGAAGGAAGGAAGGAAGGAAGGAAGGAAGGAAGGAAGGAGAAAGAAAGAAAGAAAGAAAGAAAGAAAGAAAAAGAGAGAAAGAAAGAAAGAGAAAGGAAAGGTATGGTTATACCATATATCACTGACACAGGTCGAAACTTGATCTTAGCATTGGTAGACTATCAATTACAAGTTCAGGCAGTATTAGATAGAGTCAGAATGGATCCAAGATCAAACAATCAAAAACCCAGTATTGCAAATGAGGGGATGAGGCTCATAGACGTAGAGATTTTCTGCATTTCATAGAAAACCATTTTCCAAGCTTCTATGTGGCTAAGTCATGGTTACACAACCAAATGTTCTGGTGAGTGTAACTTTTTAAATGTAAGTGTCTGCCATTGTTTGGGTATTACTTGGGCCAGAAAATGATGTATTTCATTTGTGCAGTTTTCATAAAAGAGGTGGGCAGATGAAGGGAGCTAAGGTCTCCATAAGTCTTTTATTTTTTTCCATTAAATATTTAAAAATTAATACTTCTCATCAACTATTTCCATAGCATCAATTCACTGGAGAATTATTTTTAATTATGTATTTAATTGGTTTTTTTTTGGGGGGGAGGTTTTTGCTATAGGGTATGTGCGCTCGCCAGAAAGAGAGAGAAAGCGAGAAATCATCCCCCAGGGGGGATGGCCACACCTCAATCCCTTCTCCATTCTCCTC